ATTTCGCCGTAAAACTTTCATTAACATCGGCACCCTGTGCGACGAAAAGTTCGATGATGTGCGCCATGGGCAAAGTGTCTCTTTTTTTTGGCCACCCCTGTATACAGGGGGCCAAAAAAAGACATTTTGCCCAGGTCGCACTTCGGCCTTTTCTTCTTTACAGAGATTGCAGTCGTTGACGGAAGTTCCTCAGCAAAATGTTTCGCTCTAACTATGCAAACCCCCTCGGAACCCGCCCTTCGGAACTCGTAACGGTACACGATCAGTCGAGAACCCCATTGAGCTCGACCAGAGCACCATGTTTCCGGGGCAAATTTTCTGATGCCGTCCACGTAGATGGCCACTATGAAGATTTTCTTATGAAATGAAATGCGCTCTTCAATTCTAAGTTGGGAGCACACGCTTTGAGCTGAGCAAAGTGTGATTAAATCCATTTGAGTCTGGAGACAAAATGTCTTTTTTTATTGCCCCCCCCCCTGTATGAACACCGCACGCTCAATACTGGTAGTCTCCTCGTTATGCAGAAAGGTTTTTAGGCGGAATTATCTAACTTTAGGGTAGTTTATATTTCAATTACAAAATGTTATGTGAATAAAGTCATTCGTAAAAACTGCTCGAAAGGGAGAGAACACCGATCGGGGAAATTGTAAGTCAACAAACTTACAGTGAGATGGGCCTTCGGCCCTCCCATGTCGGTTTGTACCCAACCTGGGCAAAATGAGGCCACAAGGATATGCTCCGGTTCCAAATCGATTGCTACCGTCTTCATCAAGGAGTTTAATGCAGACTGAAGAAAAAACTAGGAGTATGGAACTGGATGATTTAGCAAGCTCACCTTGCTTATTCTGTAGGCAAGAGTTCCCATGTCTCCCGAACCCGTAGTATTGTTAGCGATCGATCCAAGTCCAGATGAAATGTTGATAATGGCCGAACGATCCACGGAGAACTCGTCTGAGGCACCTTGTTCGGCGGCTTTGCGTAGCAACGGTAGGAATACCTATGAACAAGAAATTTTCAACGCTGACAAATGCAGAGAGATACCGAACCCTAACCTGCGTGACGACAGCTACACTGGCTGCGTTGATATTGAAGTTTTTGATAATATCAGCACGATTCGGTTCCTGTTTTGTGGTATATTTCACGAAAGCACCGGCGTTATTCAAAAGCACGGTAAGCCCCTTGTTGCCGACGATCTTCTCTACCTGAACGCCAGCTTTTCAAACCTTCATCCTCTGCATAAAAGCTGTTGGAAAATTGCAATTTCACCCAAGATTTTTCACAGAAGGAGACACTGACACTTCAGGGGCAGTGGCTACATTGATAAAGCGCCACTGCCCCTGAAGTACTAACTATCGGCTCTCACACACATACACATACATATACAGGGAAAAAATCACGATAACAACATAAATTGGTCATAAAAAAGGAATGTAGTCGAGAAGTCCCAAATTAGCAATATCAGCATATTGGTGGAAAATTACGGAACAGAAAATAATATCTCTCTCTGAAGCGGACGCTTTCTGCGTTGATAAATAAACGAAGACTTCCTAGAAAGTCGTCGACTCTGTTGTGTAGGTAGGTGTTGTCGAGTAGGTCCAAGGCTTTCAAGAGCGACTGCTCAACTAGTCGATGTTCGTATTATGCTTGTAGCAATGCTTTACCTTCGACACACTTAATACAGTTAATTTTGTGCCGTCTAGGGCGGAAGTTTTCTTCACAACCCAGCGTTCTTGTGAAACATTCGCAAGGCGAACTGCGGCAAAAACAGCAGTTAAAAAACAAAAACATGAAAATCCACTGCTATGTTGACACTTTTCTAATATGATGAACTTCACGATATTCTGTTGGCATCGATTTCTGGATGGTCTCTGCATTGTGGGTGGGCGACTAATATTGCTCTGATGTTCTGTATTTGTTGTTGACGGTCCTTTCGTTTTGAAGCATCGGCGGAGACAGAGGGAGTTCGAGACGATTACTATGGCTATATCTTGAGCAGCAGATGTCTGAGGTGTGTTCTAATCGTCATTGCTCTTGTGATTTTTGCGAAAACCATCACTGGATGGTTGTTGGCTTTTCACCAGCATTAATTCAGCTGCTCCTTCTTATTCAAGACGGCAGAATATCTTCTCATCAGAGGAAACAATCCATAAAGGAAGCTCATTACGGAGTCGAGAAAATCTCTTCCAGCATCATTGCTTTCTTTTCAATTTCCACGCATCGGTCAGATCTTATCGTTAGGCATTTTATGCTTGCAAAACTTCCATGTAAGGTTTTTGCAAAAAAGGCTTCGCAAGGAAGTGCGCTCGCATCAGTCTCAGCGACCAAACGACGGATTGAGCAAGCTGGAGTTCAGCGCATCTTCGCACAGATCTTCGATTAATCTTAATGATTTTAACCTAAGCGTTACCACGGTCCTTTTTTCTTACTCCTCCCTTTGCCTACCAACACATTCGCATTCATGTGCAAAAACCACAATAATTTGGTCCTGGGGCATATCTTCAATACGTTGACGACAACGCAGGTTTTGGCTTTTTCGCCGCATGGGGCATGGCAGATTGGCGGACACGATTTGCCTGACGCGCAAGCGCGTCAGCTTGTCCACAAAGTGCGTTTTTCGGAGCTCAAAACTGAAAAGTAGCAAAACAAGGGTACAACGCTAGTAGGGGAGAAGGGCTTTCGGCGAAGACGCGCTGAACTCCAGTTTGCTCAATCCGTCGTTTGGTCGCTGAGACTGATGCGAGCGCACTTCCTTGCGAAGCCTTTTTTGCAAAAACCTTGCCTGGAAGTTTTGCAAGCATAAAAATGCCTAACGATAAGATTTGATCGATGCGTGGAAATTGAAAAGATAGCAGTGAT